TTCCTTCCTTCCTTCCTTCCTTCCTTCCTTCCTTCCTTCCTTCCTTCCTTCCTTCCTTCCTTTCCTATTCTCTCCTCTTTCCTTCCTTCCTTTCCTATTGTGTCTTCCTTCCTTCCTTCCTTCCTTCCTTCCTTCCTTCCTTCCTTCCCTCCCTATTGTCCCTTCCTTCCTTCCTTCCTTCCCTATTGTCTCTTCCTTCCTTCCTTCCTTCCTTCCTTCCTTCCTTCCTTCCTTCCTTCCTTCCTTCCTTCCTTCCTTTCCTATCATCTCTTCCTTCCTTCCTTCCTTTCCTATTGTCTCCTTCCTTCCTTCCTTCCTTTCCTATTGTCTCCTTCCTTCCTTCCTTCCTTTCCTATTCTCTCCTCTTTTCTTCCTTCCTTTCGTATTGTGCCTTCCTTCCTTCCCTATTGTCCCTTCCTTCCTTCTTTCCTTCCTTCCTTTCCTATTGTCTCCTTCCTTCCTTCCTTCCTTCCTTCCTTCCTTCCTTCCTTCCTTCCTTCCTTCCTTCCTTCCTTCCTTCCCTATTGTCTCCTCCTTCCTCCTTCCTTCTTTCCTTTCCTATTGTCTCCTCCTTCCTTGCATACTCCCTCTATCCATCCTTCACTTCCTTCCATCCTTGCCTCTGTCCTTCCCTACAACCTTCCGTGCTGTAGGTGTTTCAGGTATTCCGGTTGAACTCTGACCTCTGTAGATTGACTTGTAGTGAAATTTTTTTACCTTCTGTATCGTTACTGAATCGGGCGTTAATCTGACCCGTCTTGGAGCCCTCTTTCCTTTGGATCCAGGTCGGAGGAGCGCCGCTCATCGTCCCTCCTGCCTCCCCTCCTCTGTGGTGCATGCTGTGCTCCATCTCTCCTGCCCTCTCCCTCACTCTCTGTTTCCCTCTCCTTGTCTCCTTTTGTTTTCCACTTCCTTCCATTAAAGCTTCCCAACTTTTTGGTCGCCTAGTGACACTCCGCTCTACAACTTGGAGCCCTGTGAGCCGCTGCCATTTGACGTTGGACGACTGCGGGGCCTCACCGCGTCGCTGTTGTTAGACCTCACCTACCTGACCAGCATCCACGAGGAGACCGCCACCAAACTCGGCACAAGGCGCCACGAGAAGAAGCACCGCAACGCTGCCTCTGTGGGGCACGATCCGATCGGCACAGAGGACAAGCCGGACGGCGAGGGCCATGGCCGCATGGAGCAGAGGGCGAGTAATGGAGCCGCTGTCGCGGTCTCCTCTGAGCTGAGGGTGTCTCACAGCCTGGAGGAGGTCAAAGCTCACCTGGCGCCAAACTCCAAGTCTGAGAGCGAAATCTCGTCTGTGGCTGGGGGCGGGAACGAAACCCTCTTCAGTTCAACTCCTAATACTGAGGGGGGCAGGAAGAAAGGCCACGAGCACGGCTCCAGAAGCCACGAGCCGGCCGCCATCAGCACGCAGTCCGAGATCCACGCCGTGCAGCTGTCCTACCTCTACCTGGGAGCCATGAAGACCCTGAGTGCTCTGCTGAGCTGCAGCAAGTATGCAGAGCTGCTCCTCATCCCCAAGGTGAGGGAGGGGAGGATAGGGGGGGGCAAGCATGTCTGCTATCATCTAAACACACAGATCAATATCTATTAATGTTCATCCGTTGCTCCTCTTCTGGTTCCCTCAAACATCCAGGTGTTACCAGAATCAGCTCCCAGCGGCCATAACGCCGATCTGAACGCCGGCGCCCCCAGCAGCGCCGCGCCCACCTCGCCCGTCTGCCAGGAGGAGGTGGATATGCGGGCCGCCCTGCAGTTTCTGATGCGCCACATGGTGAAGCGCGCTGTGATGCGCTCCCCAATCAAGCGGGCCCTGGGGCTGGCGGATCTGGAGAGAGCGCAGGCCATGATCTACAAACTGGTGGTGAACGGGCTGCTGGAAGAGCCCAGCGGGGGAAAGACCAAGCTGGGTGAGGACTAGGGCTGCAACTAACCATTATTTAGCAAATCGATTAATCTGCTGATTCATCTTTTCAGTTAATAATCGGGTAGCCAAAGGTTCCTTAAAGAAGACTTTTTACTAAATTAAACCAGGTGACTCCAAAACTTTTCCCCTTGAGGAGTTCTTGATTATACAGCAGACTGACAGACGGATGGATACCGTTCATCTTAAATGCAAAACCTTTTTATATATATTTTTTTTATATTTAGGCGTCGCTCTGTCAGCTAAAGGCGTGTTTTACACTCTATCATCCAATTAACGAGGACTAAATTAGTTTATTATTATTTCAATAATCAACTAATCCGATTAATGTAAATCCCCAGAATGGGGAAATTAACTCTCTGCATTTAACCCCTCCCTTTGGGGAGCAGTGGGCTGCCATTGTGCGGCACCCGGGGAGCAGTGTGGGGTTAAGGGTCTTGCGCACCTCAGACGGCCAGTGGGAGTTTAAGTAGCGTCAGAATTCTGGGAGTCCTAGCGTTAACGTGTTTGACGTGACCGCTGCTCTTTCACTTCTCAGGAGTGAGGAGTGACCCTGAGGGGGAGGGGGAGGTCCCTGAGGGGGAGCAGCTGGCTCAGACCCCCATCACCACCAGCCCCTCAGCCTCCAGCACCACCTCCTTCATGAGCTCCTCCCTGGAGGACACCACCACGGCCACCACGCCCGTCACCGACACAGAGACCGTCCCTGCCTCCGAGTCTCCTGGCGTCATGCCGCTCAGCCTCCTCAGGTGGGAACATCTCCTCCTGGATGAGGAGAAGCTGCTCTTTGTCGTCTGACCTTCGCCCTCTGCTGTGCTTCCTACAGGCAAATGTTCTCCAGCTACCCCACCACCACCCTGGTCCCGACCCGGCGAGCCCAGACTCCGCCCGTGTCTTCTCTGCCGACGTCTCCGTCAGACGAGGTGGGCCGCAGGCAGAGCCTCACCTCTCCGGACTCCCAGCCCAGCAGGCCTCAGAACCGAGCCGGAACATGTGAGTTCAGCCAGAGATGCGCTCGCCCGTGTAAATGAGGCCATAGAGTGACGGCCATGTTGTTTCCCTGCAGCTCTGTCAGACCCCAGCAGCAGGCTGTCCACCTCCCCCCCACCACCGGCCATCGCCGTGCCTCTGCTGGAGATGGGCTTCACCCTGCGTCAGATCTCTAAAGCTCTGGAAGCCACAGGTCAGTGGGTCCAACCCTCCAGATGTTGTGACTGGAAACAGCTGGAGACCCGAGCTGCTTTAGTTCAACTCTGCAGCATTTATTTTCTTGTCCTCTAAACTCCAGTATGGTTATTATTACCCATTAGTTTTATAAGTGATTGACTTTCTTTGGAGAATCCTTTTTGCATCAAATGCTCCAAATAAGAAAAATGTTTTTCAGTAAACCAAATTTATTCTAAACCTCTAAAGTTTGATTTAAGCCTGACGCATCTGCGAGGTCCTACTGGCGAAGGTTCAGGAATATAAACATCTACACACATCCCGTTACTTAGCTAAATAAAATATCAAATAAATAAAATAAAAATAAATAAATATCAGCACGACCAACACATTATGGAAACACTCCAGGAAAGAAATGGCTCTGGAACGGCATGAGGAGTCTTTGATAAAGTTGTAAACGGCTGTTTTATACACATCCCTGCATCAGAGCGCTGCTTGTTTGATCTGTAAATGGTTTTCCATGCTAGCAACAAAACTAGCTTGCATCTCCAAACTAGCTAGTTTGGAGATGCAATCCACTCCTTAAATCTATCTTTGCTCTCCGCAAATTTATCCAGAAGTTCTGCAATCGCACTTTTTCTCTCACTCCCAAGTGTGTGATCGACTGCATATTTAGTAGTTTTACACTATACCATTTTTTGGCCCCGATAATCATACCTGGCTGTGCAGTATTGGCCGATTCCATGCCAATACCATCTGTTTGAAATTGATGTGTGTGTATTTATGAATAACTGCAAACTGCTTGGAAGTAAAATAATTGCCATCATGGCTTAGTCAAGCTGCTGCCTACCTTTGTGAAGCAGGAAAAAAACTAGGGGTGGAACGGTTCACAAAATCCACGGTTCGGTTCGGTTCATGGTTTCGTGGTCACGGTTTTCGGTTCGGTTTATGTTGATTGTTACCCCGAAATCCCATAAACATTAATGAAAAAATCCCAAAAAATTAATGAATTATTTTTAATGATCCGCAGAAACCCTGGATGATTTCCGCATGTTTTGCTGCTTTGAATTTAATCATCTGGCGCATGCTCTCTACGATCTCCAAGGA